ACCTGCGGGCACGCGTGACCGTCGCTGGGGGACGCGGACTCCGAGCCGCGGCCCCACACCGTGTGCGCTCACTACTGGGAAGTCAGCCCCCGGCAACGGTGAGCCCAGCGCTGGGGCTGCCGTCAGGAGCAGCACTGGAGTTTAGTGCTTTCCGCTGGAGTTCTGGGTAAGAACCCGGAGAGAATGAACTAGAAACACCACCGCGGGCCCACGGCCGACGCGGGAAGGCGGGGGAGTGACTCTTTCTCCTTCAGGGGGACAAAAGGAAATGGGGTGAGGGTGGGGGCTGTGAGCTTCAGACCAGAAAGATCTGGGATTGACGTTGACTTTCTGCTTTCACCACGTTTCTTCCTGCTCTCCTATGCCTGCCTCCTTTCTTTTTAGACAATGTCTTGTTAAACTGCCCCCGGCTGGCAGAATCCAACTTGGGATTCTCTTGCCTCAGCCTCCTGAGCAGCCAGGGTTACAGGTGTGCATCACCTTGCCTGACTCTCCTGAGCCTGCACCAGAAATACCTTGATTTGGCCAGATGGGTGCGCAGAGAAGATGCTGCAGCATGTGGGGACACAATAAACCCAGGCTCTTCCTGCTGGGCCTGGGAAAGCAGCTGAGCCCCAAGGCTGTGTGCACAGCTGCCAACTCGAGGGTGCCCCCTGGTGGCCGCGCAACCTCGTAGGCCCTCAGCCCTCACCTCTTTCAGCGGGAGGATGAGCTTTGTGACTTGGTCTCTGCCTACAAACTTGCCCAGGATCTCGTAGGATTCATAGCTCTTGCTTCTTCGCGCCTCCATAACTTTGGAGAGGATCTGCTTCACTTCCTTCTCCTCTGCGACAGCCCCGAACAATTCCTGGTTAAAGATCTGCAGGGAGAAGCCAGGTGTGCGGTGCGGACCAGGCTCTGCCCTGGGTTCCACCGCTCAGCACAGCTGAGAGACCAAGCATGGAGACCCGCAGTGCACACCTGGCTCGCGGGAGGAGAGAAGAACTAACTACACATCCCCAAAGGATCCTCACGCCTGCAACTGACCTTCCGGATTACGGCCTGTTGTTTTCCTGACCCTCAGCCAATTTATTCTCGTCCCAGTCCTACTTCCCAGACTGCGGCCTGTCCACCGGAAACAGTCACAGGCGGGGCACCCGGCCCGGGGCGGATCCTCCCGACCCCCTCCCGGCAGTGCCCGCGCACCTGGGTCAGGATGTCTAGGCAGGCGTCCAGGTCCCCGACCCGCAGGCGGCTGGCCAGGCTCTGCAGCAGCAGGTGCACGGTGAAGGTCAGCACGTGGACCTGCAGTGACACGGGCGGGTGAGGCCGGTCACTTCGGGGACGCGTGTCGCTTTCTCCTGCGATGCGGCCACTTTCTGCACGCCTCGTGGGGCCGGCGCACGTACACAGCACATCTTCGTTCTTGTTTCATCGCCTCCCCCAAATGTCACTTATCTCTCGTGGAGCTCACACGATTTTTAAGAGTCCTTGGATTTTGGTGCTGTCTATACAGTTGACACTAAAACCTAAGCTAGTTCTCTTCCCACCCCGTTTTTTTTACAAGCACCAGGCTGGACCCGGGGATGGGTGGGGAGAAGGGGCCGTAGGGCTGAGGGTGCAGCCCGGGGGCCGAGCACACCGGGCCCGGCTCAATCCCCCGGTCGAGGTTTCACACCCACCGCACCGCACCTCGCCCGCCTCATGCGCGTGCCACGAAAGGAAAGAGGCGAAAGGGTAGAGGCTCTGGTTCCGGAAGGGAACCGAACACCAACAGCCCTGAGCGGGCGCGGCCTCAGGGGAGCAGAGCCTCTGCCCTGTCTCGGGGAGAGGAAGCCGAGCGAGTGCCCAGCTCACCGACAGGGCCCGGCCGAGCAGGTGCAGGTGAGGCGGAGCAGGGGGCGCCAGGGCCTGGGCTGCAGGACAGGAAGACACGAGACCGGAGAGCGGACTGCAGAACTGGGTGTGCAGCTCCGAACCACAGCCTCCTGGGACTGGCCCAGCGGC